CTTCAGAAACTATAACTGAATGATGAAAGCTTTCAGCAGTGCCTCCGAGTGAGCCGAGCCCAGTTTGATGAACTGTTGTCCGGTGTGAGCAGGAGAATTTTCCCCAGATACACCAACAACTGGCGCTATGTCATAATCACTCCCCTACAGGGGAAAGCTCCTGATTGGTTAACAAGACGCGAATGTCCACTGAAGTTCAGATATTTAAACTCCAGCGATTCACATTAAAAGTGCAAAACTCTCAACTTGTACTTATTCATTCATGTAAATCATGTTACTCGCGCTGCCTCATTAGTGTTTATTGCGCTTCAGGATGTCTATTCGTGTCTTTGCATTAACTTAACGTGTAAATCACGTTAAAATCATCTTTTGTGTCTGGTGTGAACGCAGCATAAAACATATGCCGGATAAGTTGGCGGTTTAATCTGCTGTGGCGACCTCAGATTAATAAACAGACTAAGCCGAAAAGAAAATGAATGAATGAAAATGTTGTCAAGGACTATTGTCATCATTTAAAATGTAGAAAATGAATAAGCATTAACAAATGGCTATGTCATTCCTATATTTCAGCCAAATCTCAAAACTGTACTATGGTGTAACTGTATCAAGCATAGTTTCAGTAAATTGCAAGAACATAATAAAATCAATAATACATACCTCAGGCCTAATTTAAATATGCCTATTTTAGTAAATCACATTGTTATTTCATCAATATATTTCTAAAAACATAAGAAGTTGAACATTTTGTCACTGGAAACCAGCAATATTGCAATGTGCGTACCTGCAATAGTCACAGCTTATGATCTTTAATGTTAAACTGGTATAGCTCTGGCTAGCACTCTGCAGTGGTCGCCCACTGAAGCTAAGCAGGGCCACACCCGATCAGTACCTTGCTGGGAGAGTTGAGAAAGCTATGTTGCTGCCGAAAGTGGTGTTAGTGAGGCCAGCAGGGGGCAGTCAACCTGCAGTCTGTGTGGGCCCTAACGCCCCAGTAGATTTATGGGGACTTTGTATTGCTCAGAGAATGCCGTCTTCCGGATGAAATGTTAAACTGAAGTCCTGACTCTCTGTGGTCATAAAAAAATCCCAGGATGTCCTTCGAAAAGGAGTAGGGGACTATTTCTGACATTCTGGCCAAATTTACCCTCTGGCTTCTGTCCATCATGGCCTCCTAACTATCGCCATATCATAATTGGCTTCAACACTCTCCACCAATCAGCTGGTGTGTGATGTGCAGGCTGGCGCAATATGGCTGCCGTCATGTCATCCAGGTGGATACTGCACACTGATGGTGGATGAGAAGATTCTCCCAATGTGTAAAGTGCTTTGAGTGTCCAGAAAAGCGCTACATAAAAGTAAGGAATTATTTTTTTATTATTGTTATTGACCCGGAGCTATATTTGAAAACACTCATGATTTGTCATTGCAGTGAAAAACTTCAACCATAAAGTATAATTATTTATGTGTGTTTTTAGGGCCTGTGACTTTGTAAGCATTTTTAAAAGTCTGTTTAAACTATTCAGGCATAAGAAAGTACATTTCTAACTTATGATATATACGCAGTAAAATTATAGTGTGGTTTTACATTTGAATACTACATTTGTTGAGTTTTTCTAGACTTCCAGAAAACCATCAAGCACTGTGCATTTAATTTGTACAGTATCATTGCTTTACTGTATTAATAAGTGTTTGTTATCAGTTTTTTATATCTTATGCAGATGCTCTGTCTTATGAAATCATCCCAACCTATCTAAAATTATGAATCTCTATCCAAATAATCCTATTACTTTCATCATCGCAATATATGTCATAGAAAAATTATATCACAATGTCAGTTTTTTCCAATATCATGCAGCCCTACTAAAAACCATTTCCTGTGGTTTGACACTATAAGATATTCAAGATCATATGACTGAAGCCCCCTGTAAAACCTGTTAAGATTTTCTCTCATAATTGTTCCCATTCTAAACCATGGAGAAAAAGAAAAGCTTTTCATAATTTATTGTAATAAATAGCACTGTTTGAAGATATCCAATAATCATTTTCATTGAATTTGTATACTATTAAGGTTTTTGTTCATTTTTGCTGTCACATCATGGGACATATTTAAGGTGCAATTCTGTAAAATGAAAATAATTGTTCAAGTTATTCACTCCTTATATTATGTCAAACATTAATCTACATAAATATAACTATTTTATCATAAAAAAAATACAGTTTTAATTTTAGAAGAAGTCACAAATTGTTCACATTTTCCAAAGAGCCACACGTGTGAAATGTTAGCTGTGACTATATGCTTACTCATAATGCTCAGCATGGGGTGACAAACTGTTGGTGTCTCTCTCACTTTCCAGAAGGTCTTGGGGTCTATTTGTCATCTTTTATGACTCATGCCTGTTAGCATTGTTGCTATTACGCTCCATGTGCAAAGGGGTCTATTGTAGAAAATTAGATGGTCTGGACATTTTGACCACAGGAATACGCAAGCTCTTATTAGCAAACCCTTGGGGATCATTGGCTGGCGCTATATTTTCGTGTGTGCACAGGGCATCCTGCCCCTGGTGGCTTTGTGCTAGGCTAGCAATCAGCGTTGGTGGGTTAGATTTGACAATAAGCATGCAGATGCACACGCAGGCGTATCTAGCCTGACATAATTGTCCAAACTTCTACTTTATCCTCTACCTGCTGTGTTTGCGTATGTAATCACAAAATTCTATGTGCCTGCTTTCAAGTGTGAAACAGATTGTTTGTTGATTCATGTGACATTTATTACTTGCCCCACTGTGTGCAAACCTCTTTCAAGCAAATGCTGCCTCCGATGACGTCATGTACTTTAAGCTTTTTAATAAATGACAAGACTAGAAAAATGTTGGTGAAAGTGTTGCATTTTACTCACGTTTACAAGGTAACACAATTGCAAAATAAAACCACAGGGACAACAGATGCTATCTGTGTGACATGTCATAATCCACATTTTTGTACCATATAATAAGCAAGTCAACCAGAGCTACAAGACTGTACGCTTTTGTGTTTGTAATTGTGGCTGTTGTAATTGCTAAAAACACGCTCTGTGATTTTACCATGATTTCAGGGCTTCTAAAACATTTTTTAATAGCTGGTCAGGGGTGGAATAGTCACTTAGCATCCACTGAAGTTCTGACAGTGTTTATAATGTTGCATCCTACAATGTGAGAGTACTGCCATAATTGCAGTTTAATGAAGAATCAATTAGAGATCACCTATTGAGGACAGGTGGATGAGTCAGATAAAAATCTCTCAGAGCAAGTTCATGCCAAAAATACAGTATTATATAAGGTTGTGTTCGCGTATGATGATCTGAGCAAGGTGTTTCATATAAAAGTACCTCTATCTAGCTCTAAAGCAGTGGTTTCAAAACTCTGTCCTGCAGATAGCTCCAGCTTGCCTCAACACAGTGTGTATCTGAAATCGCCCCCTGTAACCTCATTCACTATTCCTTACATTAATCCACTAATATAGTCCAGTAAACGAGTGAATGAAAACAAGTGAATGAATTCAAGCACTAAGTGCACAAGATGAGTTGCCATTTTGTTTGGTTATGTTAGTATTTAGATTCCTGTTAAGTATACAAACGCTAATTTATTTATTTTCTTTTTCACTTAGTCCTTTTATTAATCAGGGGTTGCCACAGCGGAATAAACCGAAAACTTATCCAGCATATGTTTTACGCAGCGAATGCCCTTTCAGCTGCAACTCATCACTGGGAAACACCCATACACTCTTAATCACACATATACAATTTAGCTTATCCAATTCACCCATACTACATGTGTTGGGAATGGGAGTAAATTGAAGCACCTGGAGGAATCTATGCAAACACAGGGAGAACATGCAAACTCCATAGAAATGCCAACTAACCCAGCCGAGGCTCAAACCAGCGACCTTCTTGCGTTGGGGCAACAACGCTACCCGCTATTCCACCATGACACCACAAATGTCAATTTACAAAATAGATAATACATTATATAGAAACATACACTAATAGGATTCTGCTGTGGATGCCATCTTGTGGTCAGACACAGAAGCTGTTTCTAAGAGGGTGTTCCAAGAATGCAGAGAACGGACTTGCGTTCTTGTGAATTCTGGTCTTGCCAGGTGTCCTCACAACTTGGGAGACCACGAGAACAGAACGCGTCCTGTGAGAAATGAAATACTGCATTCTTCGGTCACATGACCTTCACACATTTTAAATGGAAAATTACTTAAACATTACAGCATTCATTCAACGATTTGTTTTTCCCTTTTTCAAAATATATACTATGCATAGAAACATTATAAATATGTGTTGCACAATATAAATAAAACTGATTTTAATACAAATTTCAGCAAAAAAAAAAACACCCTAATGTGTTTACTCCTTTATTAAGATGTCCATGGTAATGTTTATATTCAACGTTTCATTTAGGGAAACTGCTGAGGTAAATATATGATATCTCTGAACTCAAGTCCGCTTCGGTGTATCCGCAATATCAAGAACACATCCGGGAAGATTCATGCGTCCTCCGTTCTTGCGATCTTGAGTATTGGCAGATTATGATGACCTTACAGGAGAACACGAGGAGGCAAGGTAGCTGAAGAACGCATATTGAGAAATAGCCAGAAATTAATTAATTGTTGGAACTCTCACAGTGCATTATGGGTATATACTTTAGCCTTTGAGTGTACATTGGTTGTATATTCATTATTGGAGTGCATTGATTGATTGTATTTCAAAATGTACCACGGTTTCTGACACCACTACAAATGGCAGCTCCCTCAAATAGTGCACTTTTAAAGGGTATAGGGGGCAATTTCGGACACAGCCAATGTTTCTAGTTTAATTCTAGTAGACCAGGGGTGACCAACCCTGTTCATGGAGATCTACCTTACTATAGTTTTCAGTTGCAACCCATACCAAACACACCTGCCTGTAATTATCAAGTGCTGTTCAGGTCCAAGTTAATTGATTCAGGTGTGTTTGTTCAAGGTTGGAGCTGAAATCTGCAGGAAAGTACTGTAGATCTCCAGGAACAAAGTTAAGCACCCCTGTAGTAGATCTTGATTAATAGGTTCAAGTGTGTTTAAGTAGGGTATAAGCTAACATTTGTGGGACATTCTTCCTCACAGAACAGATTGAATGAACTGTCTATCACTTCTGTCTCAACACTGATTTCAACATTAACATAAAGAGATAAATTTTTTTAATAATTTAATGAAGATGTAATTGATGAGGACTAAAGATATTTCATGTTGCATAGTCGACTGTGGATTTTACCCTAGATCTCACTGGGCTAACATCATACAATCTGACAAGTAATTATTGTGAATGACAAGAAGAACTAGCACAGCGGGCTTAAAAAAAAAAAAAAAAACATTAATTATATGGCTTCCTTTCTGTCAAACAAACATGCACACGGTGACTTTACACCATTAATTTTCATAAACCATGTGGGTCATATCCTCTTGTTTATTCATCTGAGAAATGGTTGACTTGATGATTAATGTAGTGTAGTGTGAATGCATTGTAGATCATCTAATTAAGTCTATCTCACACCTCCAGAGAACCGCCAAATCGAGACGTCAATTCTCAGAGCCCTCCAAGGGAAATGACAGAACCACATAATGGCAAAACAACTGGCACTTGCTCCTGTGAAATTATCATCACTTTAGCTCTCACCACTTACAAAAGGTCAGACTCCCTCTGTTGAACATTTTATGAAACTATGCCTATCTTCAGAAATGTAGAAGTGTTCTAGTGTGAGCTACCATGTTTTTGTGTTTTAAAGCAGAGTGTGCAGTCCATTACCAGAGGCGAAAGGCTGTCATTTGATTGCTTGAGTCCTCTTGAGAGTGTCTGGACATGAGAGTGAGAGGCTCTGAGGGCAAGTTTCTGAGCAGTGATCTATGTCAGACATGCAGTGATCCTTGGAGGCTTGCGAGACTAAAAGGGTGTACAAGGGATTCTGCATCACTTACTTTCTCGCATTGGTGAGGGCTGAAAAACAGCATTAAATGGTAATTGAATCAATGTAGTTACAACAAGGTCAAAGATGATGTCTAAACATCTAGTTGTAGTTTGCTGATATTCCCCTTTGGCTGTGGCGGGTATGAAGAGCAGGGTATTCCCAAACAGATTTACTCCTCCATTAAATGTGCACTGCATTTGTTTTCATTCAAGGTCAAAAAGATGTATAAGGGAATCTTAAGCCTGGATCACTAATGTCCGTAGCAACATCAAAACAAAGCTGAGAGCCTGGCTATTCTCTTTAGTCCTCGTAAAAGAAAATCCCACCACCAACAAAAGCCTTAGTTCTCAGACAAGAACATCGAATATTGGCTGGAATACCACTCCAGTGCTGCAAAAATCTCCTTAATGTCTGAGTGCTCCTTCTGAATAGTCTGTGCTGATGTGTCTTGCATCTTCAGAGACAGCTGTCAGGGACAGGGCTCTCCGGTGATTGGTTCTCCTTCACCACTACCTCAGAAATAAGTGTCAGGCAGGTGGCAGGATTGCGGGAGGCACAACGAGACAGTAGGTTCTGTCCACTATGCCTGCAAGGGCAAAAGTAACCTCGAAGGTGCATGCGGACCTTACTGTGCAACGAGGCATAAATGAAGGGGTTGTAGCAGGCTGAGCTCATGGCGATCAGATGGCAGCTAACCTGCAGTACATTTACATAGTGTTTGTCCACAATCTGGAAGTCTGAGTCTAGATCCAGTAGGAGATTGAGGACCTGCAATGGGAGCCAACAGAGGGCAAAGGCAAGAACTGAGGCCACCAGTAGGGAGAACGTCTTACGGCGCTGCTTGCTCCAGCGTTGCTGGCTCTGGGAAGGCTCTCCAGGTAATGTGTGTTTGCGGAGATGCACACTGATGGCACAGTAGGAGATGCTTACAGATAACAGCGGTATCATGTAGGATGCCAGTAAGAAGAAGCATGAGTAGAGTAGGCGCTGCCGTTCGGCACCCAGCCAAAACTCCTCACACACTACCAGCTCCATCCCACTAGGTCGCAGGTCCACGTAGCGCGTGTGGAGGGAAGGGGGAGCCGCAAGGGCCAGCGAGACTGCCCAGACACCCAGTGCCACTGCGCCACATCCCCACACAGAGATACGTCTCCGCACTGGGTACGCTACCACCACATATCGGTCCATGGCAATGGCGGTGAGGGATAATACAGAGGCGAAGACTGTTGCACCTTGTACCAGAGGAATAAGGTGGCACATCGGACGTCCAAATGCCCAACCCTGTGCATCAAATGCATACGATGCAGTTAGCGGAACACAGCTCAGGCACATCAGCAAGTCCCCAGCGGCCAGGTTGCCAATGAAAAAATTGGTTGCATTATGAAGTTTCTTGTCTGCCAAAATGCAGGCAAGAAGGAAACTGTTCCCAACACCAGCCACAACAACAACTAAGGCGTAGAGTGGAATAAATAAAGGTTTGAAGCGTAGAAGCAGCTGGGTTCCTGAGAATTTATCAAGGGGGTCAGTCCGATTGGAAGTGCTGAGGGTTGTGTTGAAGCCCGCCAAAACTTGTTCCAGAAGAGGATCCATTTCTACCTGTGAGACAAACATTGATGAACAACAAAGATATGCAGGTATACACTCAGCCTGCGGTTAGAGATATTCTCAGTGTGAGATTGGCACATGGAAACGCTGTTGCCATGCTCTTGATGGAACCCTTTTAAAGAGTCTTTCTCCTTCTGCCTTGATGAGACTTGAGCACCCTCTAAGTGCAAAGCTGAAAGGCTGCATTTTACAGATCCAATTAATTGTTGAAGCAAGTCCCCCCCCACCCCCAAGGTGAGTCACAAAGTTCAATTACAGAGTTGTTATTTAATATTTTCTTTAAGGCAATCCTTACTTTATTTTAAAGCCACTTTGTCTGGCAGAGTAATTCACAAGGATCAGCTAGTTATCAGGCCTTGTGAATGAAAAAAAAGACTATTATTACGTCTATACAGTCTATTAAACTCCCCCACACAATGTGTGATTATACTGTATGATGGATTGCAATAGCATCATAATGCAAACATAGTAGTTACAAGAGGTAAAGTTTTTACACTTTAATACTTTATTAAAAATATAAAACAAACATCACATGTGCTGTACAAAGGCAAAATTATTAGCCCCCTGTGATATATGAATATGTATGTATATGTGTTCTTTGTGTGTAGAAAAAACTGCTTTATTTGCAGCCAAATAAATAAGACTTCTCCAGAAGGAAATATGTAGGAAAAATACCATCATTAAAAAAAAAAAAAAAAAAAATATATATATATATATATATATATATATATATATATATATATATATATATATATATATATATATATATATATATATATATCACAGGAGAGCTAATAATTTGCAATTGGTAACTAACTGGTGCATTGTATGTATGATTTGTGCAAAGATACAATCTGTTGTGTGTATGCCTTTTTTTGAACAGATGAACAATTATGTTCAAATTTAAAAAACACTATTATTAGCATTTTATTTGAGAATATTTGCCACTAGTAAAGCTGTCAGAGAGTGTATGGTCAGAATGAGACAAAAAATGCAATAAATTATTGTAGACTGATACAATTGTAACCTTTTTTTCTTGACTAAACTAAAGCAACCGAATACAACTTAATGAACCAATCAAACATCATCAATATGCATTCTCTTTAAATGAGTGTAAAAAGTGTTATAAAAGAAATCACATTTAATACACAGTTTTTTTAAATGTCATGTTTGATATGAATAACAAGCCAAAAATTAGCCAAAACGAAGAAATAAAGAGAGAGTACCTGCTGCACAAAAGCTTGATGCAAAGGAAGGTGCGTATTTGGTGTCTCTCAATTTTGTTCCACAGTTGAGATTTTGTTCATCTCCACATTTCCACATCCATAAATGATCCTCGTGCCCAGTTTTCCATGCAGTAGTGTGTATCTGAAGTCATTTGCCACTGCCTCACAGAAGGAAAGTGGCTGGTGAGGTGCAGACCACCAACCCAATGGTCTGTGTTGAAGGGGTGCAGGGGGGCTGAGAGAGATTGTGAGTGTATGTGTGTGTGAGAGAGAGAGAAAGAGGGAGAGAGAGAGAGAGAGAGAGAGAGAGAGAGAGAGAGAGAGAGGTGGAGCGACTCTGTCTTCTGTCACAACCGCAGTATAGACGAAGACTGAAAAGAGACACAGTTCCTCCTTCTGAGACCAACCTCTATCTTTCATGCACATTCTTTTTTTAAACGTGAATGTACAGAGAGGTGCAGATTTCAGATATATATTTTCCAATCATAAACTCAGTCTTTAATCTCTGTTTGAGATCATTTTTTCTTTCCTCAGCTTGGTAGTGCATCTGTGAGAAACTGATAATTCTGAGAAAAAAAAAAAAATACACATAAAAATTGGTGTGGGGATGCACGTGTCTGGAACACTAATGTGCACCACATGGAATCACACACAAATATGAATATAACCCTGAAGAAAACAGTTGGTGAATAAATGAGGTTACCATGAGGTACACAGTTTTAGGTACTGTTATTTACATTTAAGGGTACGAGTGCAGACCTGTTAAGTACCAACAATTATCCTTTGTAGCTTATTTCTGAGCGTGGGTATGATGCATTATTTTTTTATCTTTAGCATACTGTCATTAGTAGTCACAACAAAAAAAACAGTGCCTGTTAGAATAATATAATCAATTAATAGTAGCTTGATTTTAGTAAATAAAAATTTATGTGAATTGTTAATGAAAATTATAGTTTGAGCTTGTAAAATGTTTAAAACATGGATTTTAGACATCATAGAAAATATCTATATACAGCTGCAAATCAGACGGACGGCATGGAAAACGCAAAAAAAAAACGTAGTGATTTCTAAATTTACTTTGACTTGTATGTTAATGCAGAGAATATGAACACAACATATTTCATGCTTTGTCTGGTCATTCGAGGGCTAGTAGTCAGGTAAATTGGTTAAGTAATGATGTGATTTGAAACATACAATGCCAACAGGTGATTGTAAGTATGATTTGGTACAAAAGCAACTTCCAGAAAAGGTCTAGATTGCCAAAAAATACGTGATGAAATTATTGAAATGTTTAAAAACAATGTTGGAATTTCAGTGCATAAAGGACAAGGGTGTAAGCCTAAGCTGAACAACCGTGATTTTCGATCCCTCAGGCATCACTGCATCAAGAATTGTCTTTCATCTATAAGCGATATCACCACATGGGCTCAGGAATACTTTGGCAAACCTTTGTAAACTACCAATACCTATCTACAAATGCCAGTTAAAACTGTACTGTGTCAAAGGGAAGCCCTATGTTAACAGTGTCCAAAAGCACTGTCAACTTCTCTGGGCTCGGTGGCATTTGGGATGGAGCATCACACAGTGGAAATGTGTACTGTGGTGAGATGAATCAGTATTTCAGGAATTTTCTTAAGAGAAATGGACGTTGTGTGCTCTGGACCAAAGAAGAAAAGGATCATCCACACTGTAACCGGCAACAAGTCCAAAAGCCAGGGTCTGTGGTGATATGTGGTTGTGTCATTGCCTTTGGCAAAGGTAACTAGCACTTCTGTGATGGCACCATTAATGCAGAAATTTACATTTTTTAGCACAATATGCTGCCTTCTTTTTCAAGGACACTCCATGTACATTTCCACAAGACAATGCAAAACCACATTCTGCAAACATTACAAAGTCCTGGTTGTGGAGGACGAGGATACTTTACTGGTCTGTGTGCAGTCCTGACCTGCCTCCAATAGAGAATGTGTTAAGACTTGTTTGCAGGAACAAAATCACAGCATTTAAAACATTAAAATTTTTTTTTATTTTATAACATTATTTAAAATGGTATGTTTCATTAATTTTTTTGCCACTGTCATTATCTTGGGAAATATGATTTTATCAGTTTCTGTCCGATATATTTCCCAGACGACTACATTGATCAGCGTCCCATTAATATTTAAAAATTCTGTTGTGATTCCCAATGATTGAAATCTGTACTCCTTCATTTTCCCAGCATGAGGGTTATTTTCCTTACTAAACCACCCGGAAAATGCTCTTGTGTGTCCAGAGGAAGGAGAAAAGATGAATGTCAGCCACATAATTCCTCCTGTAAGTATCACTCCAAACAGTTAATCATCATTAGCCTGGCTATTTGCACCACAATGAGCAGGCAATCATTTGCACTATTCAGAATGAGAGACGTTTAATTTTGAATAGTTTATACAGTGAGTGATTGAAACACAGGCAACTTTTTAGAAAGAGAAATATATTATGTTTTGGAATCATAAAAAAGTCATGATTTTATTAAACGTTTTGATCACTAACAGTGCGGCGGTACCTTTTGAAAAAGGAATACATTTGTACCTAGATTGTCTATATTGGTACTTTAAAGCACAAAGTAACAATTAAAAGGTATACATTAGACCCTAAAACTTGGGTATATTGTCAGTGACTGCCCGTACCTTTATTTCTAAATGTGCATTTACACATACGCAAGGGGCTTGGACCCCTTTTTGCCTTCACAACTGCCTTAACCCTTCATTGCATAGATTCAACAAGGTACTGGAAATATTCTTCTGAGATTTTGTTCCATATTGACATGATAGCATCACGCAGTTGCTGCAGATTTGTCGGCTGCACATCCATGATGTGAATCTCCCATTCCCCCACGTCCCAAAGGTACTCTATTGGATTGAAATCTGGTGACTGTTGAGACCATTTAACTACAGTGAACTCATTTTCATGTTGAAGAAATGTTTATGACATGGTGCATTATTCTGCTTGTAGTAGTCATCAGAAGGTGGCTACACTGTGGTCATAAAGAGATGTCAGCAACAATACTTGGGAAGTCTGTGGCATTAACACAATGCTCAATTGGTAAAAATGAGCCCAAAGTGTGCTAAGAAAATATCCTTCATACCATTACATCACTACCAGCCTGAACCGTTGATACAAGGCAGGATGAATCCATTCTATCATGTTGTTGCCAGATTCTGACCCTACCATCCAAATGTCACAGCTGAAATCAAGACTAATCAAAGCAAGCAACATTTTTCTAATCTTTTATTGTCCAATTTGTTGCTGTAGCCCATCCACCTCTTTGACATGTACACAGCTTTGACATGTTTTGCATTCAGAGATGCTCTTCTGCATATCTCAGTTGTAACGAGTGGTTATTTGAATTACTGTTGCTTTTCTATCAGCTCGAACCAGTCTGGCCATTCTTCTCTGAACTTTGGTATCAACAATGCATTTGAACACACAGAACTGCAGCTCACTGGATATATTCTCATCTGACCATTCTTTGTAAACCTTAGAGATGGTTGTGTGAAAATCCCAGTAGACCAGCCCATCTAGCATCAACAACCATGTCACCTTTAGTCACTTAAATCACTTTTCTTCCTCATTCTGATGATCAGTTTGAACTGCAGCAGATCGTCTTGACCATGTCTACTTGTGTGCAAATATATATACGTACATACATGTATACATATATGTGTGTGTGCGTGTGTGTGTGGATATATGGATGTGAACATTTTCACTGACAGTGGATTCAAAGTTCCCAGATGAGCCTGTGTTATTCAGCGGTTGTTATCTCAGAATTACATACCTCGAAATGTCATGACTCACTAAGCAGAGTAACAAATAATTATAGAATCTTGTTTACATTTTATGCTATACAAAATGCTGTAAACAAGTTGGCAACCTGCTAAATCATTCTATGATAAAAATCACAAAAATATGAAGAAAAAAATCTGCCTTACCAAAGTTTGTCCTTTAGTTTTTGGTAAAGATCTCATTTTCTTAAAGGACAGCTGAATAATTTGGTGAGTTTTCAATTTGGACAGATAAACTAAATGTAGTTTGAGGCTAAATACAATAAATTACAATCTTGTTGATGCCCTGAGAAGGGTGAACTAAAAATGGCCAAAAAAGAGGGCGACTAGAGTGAATTTAAAAGGTTAATTGCAGTTGTGCCTGTCTAAGTAAATGTCTTGGCATAGCTAGTGTTGTGAATTTAGCTGTGGGCAAAAGCCTTCAGTGTTAAGACAATCAACACTAATAATTTTACTCTTCGCGTTGTGAGGACTTTGACCCTTGCTTGACCCTAGCGACTGCTCTCACACTGAATGGTGCTTTTGGTCGATGAAGAGATGAATAAAGGGATGAAAGAGAAGTTATAGATTCACTGGACATAGTGTTGGCTCTGGTTGAAACTCACTTAATGGCAATGATTCAGAATCAAAATGCCAGACTCAAATGTTAACCTTTTTTTAAAGTGCAAAGCTCTTTCCTGCCCAGCCACAAAAGGCCTTTTGAATTACTTTTAATAGACATCAGATATTAATTCAACAAGTAAAAAATCTACTTTATCTATCGAAATTCAGCGTTCAATCAAGGCGTGATCAAAACAAAAGCAAAACAGGAACAAAAAGATTGTGGATTCAAGTGCAGGTTTAATAGATAAATAGTGCAGAAAACAGTGACGAAAAATACAAAATCTCAAAAATACAAAGTAACAAATCAACAACATAACAAGACGGATAACTAAAACTAGACTTTGGCAAGATCAGGAACAAACTTACTAGGATCAGGAAGACAAGGAAGACAAACGACGCGATCACAAACATAGGTGGAATGGTAGAATATATAGTCCAGATAATCAACGGTAACACAAAACAGATGAGATGACGGGTCAGTGTAAGTGTTCCGGTGTATGCGCGTGGGATGTATGAGAATGTAGTTTTTTCCCTGGGGCACTGTAGCGCCTACAAAGTCCTAGAGCGCTACAGCGCCCTCAGGTGGTCACAGACGGATGTGACATTACCCCCCCTCTAAAGAGCGGCTTCCAGACGCTCCCAGACTGGTTCCAAGAGGGGGGGCGGAGCGGAGCAGGAACAAAGGGAGGGATGGGAGGGCCAGATCAGGGTCAGGCAGTGGGTCAGGCACCCCAGCAGGAAGCCAGGGTGCGGCCGGTGAATCCGTCCCAAGTAGTGGGAAGGACCACCAGGGAGGGTCGGGAGGGATGACCCATGGATG